GTATTACTTATTCTACTTTAGTCACACATATGATAATTGTATGCAGTAGCTTTGTTTTGATTTGTGACTAAATTAAATATATTTTAAAACTGCAAAGGTTGCTTTTAAATAAGAATTCCTGTCAGAAAAAAAATATATTGCTATTAAAGGGGGTTGAAGCTACACTGAAATTGATTGCTATAACACCACTACTGGTACTGCAAAGGATGTATACGTAGAAAATTGCTGACAAACAATATTAAGGGGATAGTTTATAGCAGCCCCAACTAGAAACTACACTCTGCTTGCATTGGTAATTTAAACAATGTAGAGCTTTTCATATACAGTAATACCTTGGTTTACGAGCATAATTCGTTCCGGAAGCATGCTTGTAATCCAAAGCGCTTGTATATCAAAGCGAATTTCCCCATAGGAAATAATGGAAATTCAGATGATTCGTTCCACATCCCAAAAATATTCATATAAAATGATTACAATACTGTACTGTAATATAATAACGTATAAAATATAAAGAAAAATAAACCAATTACCGGTACCTTTTGTGGCCGGTGTGAGAGGGACAAGAGGGAGGAGGATTATTGCGTAGGACGACTTTCACTATCACTAACGGAATCACTGCTATCTCTTGACTCAATGGAATCTTTTTCATTTCGTGAAACCTTAACAAGGAATCTATCCAATGTGACATTGCGTTGTCGTTAAACAGACTCATCGCTCGCACTGCTACAGCCTTATTCAGGTGGTGCTTTTCTACAAAATTTTGCTCTTCTTGCAAGACATTTGCTTGTATATCAAAGCAAAATTTTTCAGAAATGTTTGCTTGTCTTGCAAAACGCTCTCAAACCAAGTTACTTGTAAACCAAGGTATTACTGTAACTGGAGAACACAAGATCTGCTGGGAACTCTGCATGCATGGGTATATGAAAAATTGCTCATGACCAAAAGGAGACGCTCTCATTTAGTGTCTGCAAAACTACACAAAGGGGATTAGGAAAGAATTACAATAATTGTGTAGACAATAAAGGCAGATGCTGGACAATAAGAATTCTTAAGTAAGTGACTAAACAAACAGTCAGATATGTAAATTGGTCTTTGGGCAACCTAAGTGTTCTCTGGATGTTAAAAATTATCATGGGCAGCAGGAACTGCAATGCATCTGTGTTCACATCAACCAACTGCTACCTCCTTATGCAATTTAGAGGAGGCAATTAGCATAGAAGAACATTCAGTGCAGGAAACTGAGATTTAGTTTTCCAGTTATAATATGTATGTTTCTGCTTCTTTTACTTAGAATCAGATAATTAACACTTAGCTTAATTTAGCCTTACTTTTAATGCTTGTTCATGATAACACTGAAGTAGAAACAGGACAGATTAAAATAATTTAGTAAAAAAACATTTCAGAATAATAATTGCCACTTAAAAAAAAATATATAAAACAAAACCCTGATGCTCTATTTGGTTCACTGTTGTGTGTGAAAAAAGTCCACAATGTATTACTTATTCTACTTTAGTCACACATATGATAATTGTATGCAGTAGCTTTGTTTTGATTTGTGACTAAATTAAATATATTTTAAAACTGCAAAGGTTGCTTTTAAATAAGAATTCCTGTCAGAAAAAAAATATATTGCTATTAAAGGGGGTTGAAGCTACACTGAAATTGATTGCTATAACACCACTACTGGTACTGCAAAGGATGTATACGTAGAAAATTGCTGACAAACAATATTAAGGGGATAGTTTATAGCAGCCCCAACTAGAAACTACACTCTGCTTGCATTGGTAATTTAAACAATGTAGAGCTTTTCATATACAGTAATACCTTGGTTTACGAGCATAATTCGTTCCGGAAGCATGCTTGTAATCCAAAGCGCTTGTATATCAAAGCGAATTTCCCCATAGGAAATAATGGAAATTCAGATGATTCGTTCCACATCCCAAAAATATTCATATAAAATGATTACAATACTGTACTGTAATATAATAACGTATAAAATATAAAGAAAAATAAACCAATTACCGGTACCTTTTGTGGCCGGTGTGAGAGGGACAAGAGGGAGGAGGATTATTGCGTAGGACGACTTTCACTATCACTAACGGAATCACTGCTATCTCTTGACTCAATGGAATCTTTTTCATTTCGTGAAACCTTAACAAGGAATCTATCCAATGTGACATTGCGTTGTCGTTAAACAGACTCATCGCTCGCACTGCTACAGCCTTATTCAGGTGGTGCTTTTCTACAAAATTTTGCTCTTCTTGCAAGACATTTGCTTGTATATCAAAGCAAAATTTTTCAGAAATGTTTGCTTGTCTTGCAAAACGCTCTCAAACCAAGTTACTTGTAAACCAAGGTATTACTGTACGCTATTTCCAAAACAAGTATTACCACAATAAACAGAAATTACACTTGGTAATTCAAACAATGCAGAGATTTACATATACACTACAAAAAAATATGTACTACAAATATGATTAATTTTAAGAGGTACAATTTCCCAAACCTGTGGGTCACTCTGTAGCACTTAGGGCTTGTTGCAAGAAATCTTAAAGAGTGAAGTAGTTCCATGCAATAACTATATTGTGATCGCTTTACAATATTTGTCTGAAAGCTTTTTTTAATTGTGAATGTATGCCAAAATCATGTATACTATATGATAATTTCCTATTCAACTTCACTGCATATGCACTGTGCACAGTGTGAGGAGAAACCCACCAGAGGTTTTGTTTGCAAAAGCTGTGTAGCACCATGTAAGCCCTTACAGTGAATCAGGGCTGATGGTAAGTATGAGGGTACTCAGAGGGTTAGTGGTAATCATTTAGATCAAGTTTTCCTTTAGGTGAATGCCTATTAAGCATACCCAAAGACTGCTATGCTCATTGCTATCCAGTGGCAACCACTAAGCTACTGTGCTATTAGAGAGGTACAGGAGCTTAGTGACACATGGAAGGTGGAGGTGAGGGGGCTAGGGCAAGGGGGTTCTATTTGTTACTTGAAGTCAAAGCCCCATGTAGAACCTAGGCCAAGGATCTTAGGATCCAAGTGAGTATTGATTTGAAAACTAAAATAGGTGCCTGAAACATAGCACTGTTCTTAACCTTAGAAATATTTTAAACAAGACCAGGTTCATTTTACTTATGGAACCTTTAACTGTACTATGCATTATCAGTATCTGCTTTTGGATATTTTGTATAGGCTTGTGGAAATCAATATCTAGAGCAGGGGGGCCCACAAGGTCGATCGCGATCTACCAGTTGATCGCGTAGCGATCACTGGTAGATCGCCATGTCCTCTCCTCCCGCCGCTTCTCTGGATCCCCGCTGCTCTCCCCAGCGGGGATCCGAGAAGAAGTGAAGGAACCGGCGGTGGGGGAGGGCGAAGGACGGAGCCGCTGTCACAGAACTAATTCAGAGCGGTGAGGAGAGAGAGAGACGCTCGGCCAGGATCTGACAGCCGGCGCCTCTCTCTCCCCTCACTGCCCGTCCGTTCTGTCACACCGGCTCCAACACCCACCCCCTCCGCCCCCCCGCGGCTGAAGTGCTTTCACTTCTCGTCGGATCCCCCGCTGCCTCTGCCCAGGAGAGCAGGGGGGATGCAGAGGAGAAGCTGAGCCCATTTGTGCGTGGTCGAGCGGCAGAGGATCGGTAGATGTCAGTAGTATGTACCAATCCTCTGTGCAGGACAAACACTGGAGCGATCGTCTGATCACTCCAGTGTTTGTAAATAAAACCTGATGTGCTGCATGTCATATTCATATAGGGCAGAGTTGAGCAACACAATGTGCATTGAAGGCAAATATTTCTACAGCTTAGTATGTCCTTTCCTACCTGCCATTTGGTGAACACCACAGGGTCACTTTTTTAAAATAGGTCATCTGTAAATGATACGTTTAAAGGTTTACCCTTTCAGTGGCTTGTGTATTTAAAAAGCCACCATTTTCCCCACCCCCGAGTTGCTGCAAGTATTTTACACTTCCAAGTGTGAAGAATACTTGCTCCCCCTCCAGTCACTGTGGTTCTTCCCACTGGCTCGTACGTAACTACATGATATATGAGCTGGCATTAGGAACAGCCAGAAAGGGGGAACAAGTACAGCTACTCCTCACTTTATGACCTACCTGTTTAACGATTGTTCAGTCTTATGACTAGTACAAGAACTTCGGTATTTACAGTATGCAAACCTAAGTAATTGACTGTTAGGACTTATGACCAGCTCTACGACTGATAGTATTATACAAGCACATGGGTAATTACAGTATGCAAACCTAAGTAATTGACCATTTGGACTTATGACCAGCTCTCTGAATGGTTGGTATTGTGACCATTTTGCTTAACGACCTACTCATAGGAACGGAACTTGGTTAAGTGAGGAGTATCTGTATTCAACTAATCTGAAGGTCAGAATTAGAGATGTAGCAACTTTTCAATACACAGGTTGCTGGAAAGGTAATTAAATAAACACTTCTTTTATAGATGACACCTTTGTAAAAGTGACCCTGACAGGGTCACTTTATAGCTGATTTTTATTGAGAGTTATTTGATTTCTATTATAGGTTACTGTACACTTTCCACTTTTTAGTTTGTTTTTTTATTCAATGTTTATTGAACATTTACAGTGGCCTAATTAGATGTACAACCATCATCTGGATATTTACCATATGGATAAACCTACTGTGTGTTATAAAAAAAGAGCTTGCGTTCTGATACCTGGTTATTTTTATTGTAACTGAAACGTGTAATGCTTTTACTACTGCATTAGGCCCATGCTGCTAAGGCACACACTGTGCATTGAAGTGTAGAAGTTTCTAGTGCTCAGGGAATAATGTCATTTTGACAACAGTGATGACATCACTGCACAATGTCATAATAACATCAGCATAGTGGTGACCCCATAAAAGTCTTGTGTTTGAGGTCCCTATCAATCAAGGAATGCTTTTGTTTGCAAATACATTTCCTGTGATTTGGCATATAGTTTTGAATACCTGTCTTGTTACTCACCAGTTGTAGAACATCAGCAGAGACCATCTGCATGCAGCACATTGCCGTAGCCAATGCACAGACGATTGTGGAGATGATATTCAGAGCACACACACTGAACAACAGGTCCTGTGAAAAGATGCAAAGAAAACCATCAGTTTTTTTTCTCAGAAGTGCATGTGACACGACTGCAAACATCTTTAATTGGGTTGATAATAATGGCTGTCACTTGCTATCTATTCAGTGTAGGATTAACTAGTTTGCGCTGTTGCTTGTTCAGCACCGATTTCCTCCCGTGTACAAATATTTTACTATGCTGTGCTGGACACCACAGCTTGAAATTATAACATGCTATTATATTTTCTCTGTCAAAGGGTCAACCTCTATTATTTCTCCTCTCTATGTACATGCATTGTGCCATTGATTCATTGTATAAAAGCTTCTAATGACGGGTGCTGTTTTTATTTCTAAATATAACTCAGTAACATTCTGTCTCAGTCTGAAGGAGGAAGGCATGATAAATGTAAATTAGCTGATTTCCTAAACCACACACCCGGAATAAGTCGTTGTCTGTACCCTCCCTGCTTCAAAATCATTGACAGTGTGTGAGAGCCATGCTGCATCTAATCCTGCTTCAACCACTGCATCATCACGATTGAAAGATGAAACACAGAAAAGAAAACCAACAGTGTTTTTTATTCACTTCTGCCCAGTCATTTTTCCAGTGGTTAAATACAATTCCTATTTGTTTTGCTTAAAAGGTTGATGTTTTTGTAAAAATGTGTTGATTTATGTCAGGGATCAGCTAAAAGTGTATCTTTAGTAAGAGGTTTGCATAGAAAAAGATAAGGGATAAAACCCCTGTCTATTTTTTTTCTCTGTGTCCTGTTGAACAGATTTCTTTTTACTTTCTGTCCTGAAGATACAAAGGAACTTAATGGAAATCCCCTCTTGATCAGGGGATGACATTGGAAGATTCCCTCTCACCTACAACTATAAAATGAGAGATTTACTATCACTTTATGTCCCCATTACAGTAGTCACCTTTCCCTAAGGAAAAACATTTTGGCTAGACATATACGCTAAATGCAAAAAAAGCACTTTGCAGAATTCTCTTTGAAAAAGTAACAATGGTAGATTGCCCACGTACTTAATTTCCAACCCAAATAATCAACATTTTATCCAAATGTGATGTTTTGGTGCCTAATCATATTAGACTCTGATCAACTGTGATAAATCAGCCCCCTAAAAATTGCTTATTTTACAGTAAATGTTGGAGTTCAAAATCATCCAGCAATCTCGGGGACTTTGCTGATTAAATGTGTATGTTTTCATTCCTAGAAATGTACTCCTGGCACAGGTGTCAGAAATGGGAATCCCACTGGCTCTTGGCACTAAATAAAAAATCCTCTGCATGATATCCTTGCCAAATAGCTCAATATGAAATTTGGGGACCTCAAAAGTTATCTTTTATGTAAGCTTCTGAAAACCCCTGGACTCTCTCCAGATCAGGATGTCCTTGATCTGGAGAGACTCCACAGAAGAGTGACACAACTAATAAAGGGGTTAGAGGGCCAAAGCTATGGAGAAAGATTGCAAGCAATGTACAAATTGTTCATTGTTGGTGGCGGAATCAGTGATAACTGTCTACTGTTATTTAAGTCCCTGAAATTGGGAGAGAAAAAGTTTAATCTTAAACTGTGAATGGGATTCTTAACTGTTAGAATGGTAATATTGTGTAACTCCCTTATGCAGTCAGGGATTTCAGCTAAGAGTATTGACTCATTCAAGAACTTTTTAGATGCTTTCCTCACAGAGCACAATATTCAGGGGTACAGGTACATTAACACATATAAACACACATAGGTTGAACTCGATGGACCTGTGTCATTATTCAATCTCCTCAACTATGTAACTAATTAGTTAGCCTGTTAGGAATAGGATTTTATGACAATTATTATGTGGAGCCTCGGCCCTCTCCCTGTCGCTTGTGAGTAGCGACCCATTTATGTCCTTTATTGGGCCTATCTGTTCCTTTCTCCCCTTTTTACTGTTTATGTACTGAAAAAAATGTTTGGGGTTCTTTTTACTAACTTCGGCGATATATTTTTCACATTCAATTTTAGCTGCCCGCACTGCCAGTTTACATATTCTATTAAATTCTTTGTAGTTTTGGAATGCTGATAGTGTCCCCTCTGTTTTATACTTACTAAATGCTAGTTTTTTTTCTTTAATGTATTTCTTTACCGATTTTTGTTTTTGATCTTTTGCTTTTGTTCCCTAGCGGTATACACCTGGTTATAGCATTTTTTAATTTGTTCTTGAAACAGTCCCACTTCTGGTCCAAGTTTAGTTTATCAAATAAGTTATCCCAATCGATTTCACCCACTATATTAGGCAGTTTATCAAAGTTCGCCTTCCTGAAGTGCGATGGACTATTTTCAGTGCATCGGCACTGCCGCCTCCACAGAGCACACCAGCGGCTGTGTTCTAATGCAGCCACCTTGTGAATAGACCCTAAGCTGCCCGATGTTATTTCCATATAGTAATTTTTCATCCCTCACAAATGTCAGGGGAAAATACCTAATCTAACACATGAACTGTTGATGCATTGTCTCTCTAATTCAAAAAGCTGTGCTCTTCACTGTAAACATACTCAGCAACCAATCTATTGCTCAATGTGGAAAGATGAAAATTGTAAATCCAATTGTAATTTTCTTCGTTTAAGTGGTTGGTTTAATAATGTTGCCTTATGTTTTCTGTGTTGCATAAAATGTTCTTTTTTTAATGTCAAAAATGCTGACACTTAAATGTCTACATACAGTATTTTTGGATTGATGTAGTAATAATCACACACTGTTTAGTTATAATGTTGAGCGCTGATTAACATTGCCATGGAAACCATAAACATAGCTTGATCCTTCCCAGTAATTATGTAATCATATCTTAAAAGTGTTTTATTTTCTTTCGCTTGCGCTGTGGCCTGTCGCAGCAGGAAAGGCAGGTGTGCTCCACTTCTGCCTCTAACAGAACTTAACCTTATGACTGGTAGTCAGTAAAGAAACAACTGGCTGAATTTAGCATGGCTGTCTGCCCATTACTATGGAAATAAGCTCTGGAAGTGCTATCTTGATGGCCAATGTTAAACACAGTCATTTCATTAACAAAACAAACTAAAATAAAAACTGAATTAGGAATAAAATTAAAATTAAATAGTATGACCCAGGAACTATAATTGCATAATTCTTATAAAACCGAAGGGAAACGGAAAGCTGCTGAACTCAGGCAATATGCCCCCAGAGTAATGATGCAACCAAAGGTACAGCGCTAAATGCCCTTCAGGAAATTTAATAACGGCAAGGATCAGATTGATACCACCTCAATGTGAGGCAATCATACAGAGATATCAGAAACATGTGTCTAACTATGTGTGTAAACTAATAGTGTTGCCAAAATGTGTCAAAAGTGTCGTGAATACGTGTCACAAATACACCTTATTCAAAGGAAAATTCACAAAAGTATCCAAAAAACATGTGTCATAAGTGTACATTATAAATAAAAATACCACATTATAAAAAAAAGTCTGTGTTGTTTTCATTAGAAACATAAACTCAAAGTTTTTAAAAACATAAAACTTAAAGTTTTTAAATTCTAAAATCTTCAAGGCAAAAATAAAAATAAAAGCAGGTGAATTGTTCAATTCTGTGGATACAGAACCCGCTTGTTTCTCAGAGATGTAGAGACCGGGATCTTTACTATCAGGTCTCCTCGGTTAGATATAACGGCTTTCCATCATCAGGGATCTGGTGAGTGCATTCACTAGAGGGGATTTGCCTGCTTTATCTTTATTGGTTTTTCGTTGGACACTTCACAGAATTGAACAATTCACCTGCTTTTATTTTTGCCTTTTGCCTTGAAGATTTGAGAATTTAAAAACTTTAAGTTTATGTTTTTAAAAACTTTGAGTTTATGTTTCTAATGAAAACAACACAGACTTTTTTATAATGTGGTATTTTTATTTATAATGTAACTATGTAACTATGCACTGTAAGTTTTTTTTTTGGTCCGAGCCTTGTTTCAATGAAATGACAAAGTGACATTTCATTCAGTTCTATCAGTCTCAGCGCGGTGCAATGTGCAGGGTATTGCATTGCACAAGGCAGTGGTGTGAAGCTGGTTGTAACTGGGACTGAGCTGGGCAAGTGCAGCTCAATGTAGCTGGTCTGAACGGGCCTTGTGCATCCTTGCAGATCTTAAAGAGGAACTTTACCCTTATCTTCAAAATAACAACAAAGACATCTTTAGAAATGTTTAGTAATGGCAATCTACAAACACATACTTGTAGATAATTGCAGGATTTGTATTTTTTGCATACCTTATTTCTCTTTTCCTGTCCATTCTTCCCACAGTGGCCATTTTTACTAAGGGCAGATTACTAGCTCTCCTATTGCTTCCTGGATTTCTTGCACATGTGATTAGACATGTGACCATGCACATAATCTCAGGGAACTCTGGCACATGTGACTTGGACATGTGACCATGCATTTCATCGCAGGGGAGGAAAATGACTTTCCCTGAGATTTCATGAGATTACAGATGAGATTTCCCAGCAATGCACTGCTGATGTAACCTTCCCAGGATGCAATGCTTGGGCACAATTACATCATTTGTGCCAAAGAAAATATGCCTGTTTAACTAATGAATGCAAAATAATTTCATATCAGCATGCAGTGCTGCTGATGTGATTTTCAGTGAAAGGGGCTCAAGGTTCACTTTAAGAAAATAACTACATTTTAAAGTGTTATCCTGTTCAGTTTATCTATTTTTGTTTTCCTTCAAGCCCCTTGTTCCTCTTTTTATCTGATATTCTTACTACCTTTATTATATTCAATGATTCTTCTTCACCCAGACAACGCAGCGTTTTAAGATCTATTAAGATGTATCTCTATAATGTTCAGTGTTCCATGCATTGGATTTCTTCTGCACTGCTATGTATGTCCTTGCTACGTTGTGATTTATAAAAATTAATAAATATTACATGCTGAAAAAAATGAAAATAACTACAGCATTGTGTTTGCTTAGTGTCATGAGGTGACATACTATGGAAAAGAAAATGCCCTAGCTGATTT